GAAAAGTCCCAGAGTATTCCTGAAAAATTGCCAGTATAAAACTTTTATCTGAAAAGGAAATGGAAGGATAAAACCAGCAGTCCAGTTAGCTTATTGTCTGTTAATGAGAAAATGTGTTAGAGTCTGTTGGAAAGGATGTCATAGCAGAGCATTTAGAAATCATAATATGAGCTGGCAGAGTCAGCATGGCTTCATGAAGGGTAAATCATGCTTGACAAATTTATTAGAATTTTTGAGGAGGTAACAGGATTGATAAAGGGTAATCAGTGGATATAATTTATTTGGAATTTAAGAAGACATTTGATATGGTACCACATGTTAGGCTACTTGAAAAGATAAGTGTTCATGGTTGGGTGGTAGCATATTAGCATAGATAGAAGATTGGCTAACTAATAGAAGTTAGAGAGTTGGAATAACAGGGCAGCAATCTGTAACTAGTAAAGTGCCACAGGGATGAGTGCAGGCAGCACAATTATTTAAATAATATGTGTTAATGACTTGGATGAGGAAAGTGAATGTACCATAGCCACGTTTGTGAGAGATGAGGAGGAATTTCTCTTCTCAGAGGGTACTGAATCTTTACTGCAGTGGGGCGTCGAGGCTGGGACATTAGGCATACTCAAGGCTGAGATAGATAAGTTTTTGATTAGTAAGGGATTCAAGTCTCTTAGGAAAATGGCATGAAAGTGAAGTTGAGGGTTATCAGATCAACCATGATTTCATTGAATGATGGAGAAAATTGATGGGCTGAATGGCCTACTTTTGTTCTTATGTCTTCTGGTCTTATGTTGTAGTGAAAAATATTACAAAATGGCTTGTCAGCCCGATACTTTTTCAACTGTTATTTAAGTGGATTTTAACAGATTTTTTTTAGAAAAAGCTAGTTTTGACACTTGGAAGAAATCTAAAATTCCATTGAGTTGTTACGCACTCGGATTTGATATTGAAATGAGCACAGGCTGTTCTTTCCTTCCCAAAGACTGTTGTGAGTTTGGACAGTTTTGGTCACTGTCAATGTTTCACTGAGTTTCTGGAGCTCCTGGCTTCAACGTAACAGGTTTTCCATTCATCTGACTGAATAACAGCCTAAAGGAGTTGAAATGATAGCTTCAAGAAGTTGGAATAACATATTGTCCCTTTGTGGCTTCTGGACAGTTGGCATAAACTTTAAAATTTTACAAATATCGAAGTTTTGTTTTACATGGCAGAGTGCACTTTTATCTATGCATCAATGATATGGAAACTTCTTTTAGGTGACAACTTTATTTTTTCCTCAAGATATATATAATAGTTTCTGTGGATATTGCATGGAACACGAGTACTGGATATAGTGCACACTGGGTGAGCAGCATGCTCTCTTAATCCTGTAAGAGAACACTGCTGAGATGGAGTGGCACCTATTTTTAAGGTGAATATTTTCTTTTAGTTGCTAATATTTGAGATTCAAACTTATTGCGTAGCCAACTGTACATAACTAACTTTAGAAGCAGAAATGCCTGCACTTCAAGATTATGACTGTTTTATTTGGTTACGAAATAATATGTAATAGAATTGGAGAATTAAGGTATAATGGAAAAACAAAATAATGACAGGATACTTTGAGTCTTTTGTTAAATCTGTTATTGGTGGGAGAATTTAGTCATGATTACAGAGAAATGATAAAGGAATTACGTTTCAAGAATCATCACAGTAAATGTACTTGGGAACTTGATTTACTGAAAGTGGCTGTAGAGCAATGATTTTTCAACTGTTGCAACTTCCTTCCTTGTTGTTTTATTTTACCGGGGAACTTAAGACTACTGAATACTATGATGTGTTTTAATGTGCTGACATATATTGTGAAGGTCTCTTGGTATTCATTTGTTAGGTTTACATGACAACAGCCATTTCAAGTTCATGATCTAAGGATATCTCTAGTGTTGGGAGTACTCTTTTTCTGCTGAAAGTAAGACCTCATTCCAAACTTTCTCATTACTGTGCATTGTAACTGAAGAACAGTTATACTTCCTACTTTGGTGTAAAAGGTCCTCAGTAGCAATGAAAATAGCGTCCATTTAAGATAGAAAACATCAGTGTTCGGGTGGACACAAGCACTTTAAGACTGGTTAAAGTGGGGAGGGCTCAGGAGAGGTTACGAAAGTTTCCAGAACAAGTAATTAGACAGACAGGCTGAATGGCCTAATTCTGCTCCTCTAATTTATGGTCTTATAGTCTTACAGTTTTTCAAATTTTTTGAGAATTCTTATAGCCTTTGTATTGAACTTGGCAAGTCCTAGCAATATACGAGAAATATACAAATTAAAAATTAGTTACAAGCTAAAAATATTTTCTTTACTCCATCAGCCCTTCATCAAAATTGTCATGGGAGCTGGAAAGTTTTTGGTTTCCTCAAAAGGGTATTATTAATTGGTTAGAAATGTTTGATTCTTGAAGACTAAAATCAAGCTTTTGCAGCCCACAGCAGTTGAGTTAGAATTAATAGTTCAATGAAGGAACTAGTACTTAGTATTTGAAATGGTAGTGTGCATTATGAGTGATGATTGTGGTTTTTACACGGAAATTGCACAAGACTTTGAATAAAAAAAACTAGTCTAGTTTGTATAATGTTATTGTAGCTGCATTGTGGACATGGCTAACTGTCGCTAGTTGGAACAGTATGCTGAAGACACTGTTTGGCAGTAAAACCAAATTACAGGAGGCAAGTTGCTAGTTCTTGATTGTGTTAAGAAACCAGTTTGTAACCTGGAGAACAGTTACCCAGTTTTGGCTCCTGTGGTTGTTTTCTTCTCAGTCTTGCGAAGTTTAGTTTCATCATGTGACATGAGCTTGAAAGGTACAGAGAGATGTCTGTATTGAGCTTTTTAGTTGTCTCTCCCTCTCTCTATTGTTTAGTGGGTCTGTGAGAGTTTGGAGATTCTGAGGAGTTAATGTTAACACATTGACACGTTTTCTGTTAAGGCCTTACATCCTGTTGAAATTACCTAAGTCTTTGCTTCATTTTGTGTTCTAAGAGGTATTTGGACATGCGTAAGATGGAGCCATTCTTGAAATAATTTTTGATAATTTAATTATTGTGTTGCTGTAGGCCTTGCCTAGTGAAGTTCTGAACTGAATAGAAGAACATGATAACAATTTTAACCACCAGTTTGTGCTGAGTTAATTTAGCTGGAGCTACAATTACCTTCAGCACTTCTAAACTTGGAATGGTAAAATCAGTCAGGCTTTGTTCTACTAATTAGCAACTCCTATGATATTTGTATTGTTGACCGTATATTCTCGAGTAAAAGTCAATGTTAAAGTTGACTCCCAATTTTTGGCCAAAAAATCTTGAAATTTCCATATATCTTGTGCAAAAGTCGACCCTAGTTCGTCACAGGTAGTTCAGATTTTAACGCAAGTGCTAGATGGTGTTCATTCTCGTCTGTCAAAGAACCTTCCCAATGTGTACCTTTACTCCGATAGTGGGGATGAAAACTAGATTCAGCGTTTTAATTTTAAAACAGTAATATGTTAGTGACCTGCAGGTGGAGATAAAGTGCTGCCATCCAGTCTCCCAGGTTTGGTGGGATTTTGTTTTTGACTCCAGGATGCTGTAGCATTTTAACAGCGGATTTCTTTTCATCAGGTTTCATTCCTTTAACAGAGTTTCAAAAGAATGAACCTGCTAATTATGAGAGCTTGGATCTCTGACTTACCATTTCACTGAGGGTGACAGAGAGCTTTTGGACACGGGAGCAAATGGAAAAGATTCAGGGTTACTTTGTGAAAGAATAATCAGGTTTTAATTTTCAGGGAGAATAATCGATCTCTTTGTTCTTATCTGCTGACAATAAGCGAACACTCACATGAGCTGTGATACTATGAGAGATTATGCCTCTCACAGCCCTGTTCATTTTTTATAGTGTTGGATCACAGAAATACCAGCAATGACCATAATTTGTTGTTTTTTTTCTTTATTCGTTTAGAAATCATTTCAGCTTCTGCTAATGAGACGGTATTTTGGATTGTAGCATGAATTTCAGCCCCTCAAAAGTTGTATCCATATAATAGTCAACCCCATAAATTTAACCTTAAAAATAGTCTAAAAAATTTGACTTTTACATGGGTATATAGAGTATTTTGCCTAAATTTGAAATATAAGCTGACATTTAAACAAATGGCTGTGTTAGCAACATAACAGACTGATGATGCTCATGGAATTATAGTGCACCATAAGTTTGCAGCTCCCAGCGAAGAGAAAATTGGAGACGAGATGGAAAAAATTTCATTACAGTCTGTTTGGCAGCAATTGTTTCATTAATTCATCAAATTAGAAGTGCCCTCATGTTACTGCTTCAGTTGTAAATTTGTGGGACCATTTATTACAGTAAACTGGCCAGAGCAAAAATAAATCTAGGCGCCTCTTCCAGCAGTTAACTTTTATTTCTTAGGTCCAGTTTAATGAGGCTATAACTAAATTAGCGTGTTCGAAGTGGCTGAAATTAAGTGGAAACTACACAATATGGCATTGGAAGCAAGGGTTCTGGTACTATCAACAAGCAAAGGGAGAAGTATATAACGCTGCAGGGATTGTAGAGCCAAACTAGGATCTTCTTAGATGAGATTACAGCTTAATTTTTAATGAGACACCGACTCCCTGAAGAGCATCCCATTCAGACCCAGCCCCACTCCCCTATAAGCTGCATTTCCCATGGCTAATCCACCGAGCCTACACATCCTGGACAGTATGGGCAATTTAGCTCAGCCAAACAACCAAACCTGCATACCTTTGCACTGTGGGATAAAACTCGAGGACCTGGACGAAACCCAGGGAGAATGTGCAAACTCCTTCCAGACAAGTTGCTTGAGGCTGGAATTGAACCCGGGTCCCTGGCACTGTGAGGCAACAATGCTACCATTATTCCACCATGCTGCCCTGGAATGTCAGAAAGATGTGGATTGTTTAAGTGACATATGAACATCTAAATTGCATGTATTTTCTTTTATGACTGTTAATCTAGGCAAAATCGGAAATCACATGGATAGAGAAGGACTTTATCTCTTTAAAATGTAAGGTAAGATGCAATATTTGCCATATACATACCCTGTTTTCTAATCACACTGCACTATTTTACCTTGTTTGGTAAAGTTCCCTCTAATTGCTTCTAAATGGAAGGCTTCAATTAAATGAATTTTCATCCTCTTGAACTTATCTGCAATTTTTAAACAGTTGATCACTGTTTCAGCCTTTCTCCATCGCTGTCCAGCAGAGTAGAATTGCACTTACCTGGTTCCATTCTTATCCAACTAATTGTGGCCAGAACATCATTATTGGTAGCTGTCTCCCATATTCACCTCTGGTTTCCCTCAAGGATCCATCCTTAGACGCTTCCTATTTCTGATCTACATGTTGTCCCTCAGTGAAATCATTCAAAAGCACAACTTTTTCCCCATTTACACTGACGGCACCCAGTTCTACCTCACACCATCTTACTTGACTCTTCCACTATGCTTTAAATTGTCATGCTGCTTATCTGACATCCAATACTGCTTGGACAGAAATTACCTTCAATTAAATATTAAGAATACGGACATTGTTATTGTCAGTCCGTGCCTCAAGCTCCCCTCTCTGTTAATTCTCTCAAATGGAACCAGCGTTTTAAAACCTTTGTATCATATTTTACCCCAACATTATCTATCAACCACATAATTCTCAATGTGACTCACTAAAACCATCTATTCTAACTTCTATAACAACATCCATCCTCCGTTCCTCAGCAATTCTGCTGCTGAAATCCACCTGTATGGCTTTGTTACCTTCAGACTTGTCTATTCAAAGTCACTTCTAGCTGACTTCCCATAACCTACTGCCCATAAACTTGAGATGATTTGAGACTACGTGCCTGTGTTCCAGCTTGCACCAAGTGTGCTTCACCCATTGTTACTTCGCTTGCTGATCTACTTCAGCTCCTGGTTAATCAATATCTCCATTTTAGAATTTTCATCTTGGCTTTGAAGTCACCTTGTAATTTGGCTTCTCACCATCTTGTAACCTCCTTCAGTCCTCCTACTTCCAATAAACCAGTGTTTTTTAAATTCTTATCTCTTAAGCAATCCAAATTTTAGTTGCTGTACTATTGTTGACAGTGCTTTCGGCTCCTTACCTAAGGTCTGGAATTCCTTCCTTACACTATTTCGTCACCTGTTGCCCAACCATCCACCTTACTTGCCCCCTATGCTTCTTAAAGTCTGTCTCTTTGACCAAGCTTTTGGTCACTTGCCTTAATATCTCCTCCTGTGACTTGGTATCATGTTTTGTTCCACAATGCTTCTGTGCAATCTTTTGGGACATTTTGTAACAGTGCTGTGATACTTTGATGTAATAATGTAGAAGGAGGTCATTTGTCCCATTTGGCCTATTTCTTAATAATTTCTGTCTATTTTGTGTCACACAACCAAAATGTATAAATACAAATTGTTATTGTTAAGTCCTTCCACCAATGCTAGCCACGACTAAATCTTACAGGTCACTGTCCCTGTCGTTCCCACCTCTACCACACTTTTAGGCAGTGATTTCCAGATATCCATGACTCTCTGAGTGAAAAATCTTCTCCTCAGATCACCTCTCAACCTTAAAACTTTGCCCCCTGGTTATTGACCCCACTTCTAAGGGGTAAGGTTTTTCCTCATCTACCTGTCTATGCCCCTCAGACATACACCTCAATCAGATCCCCTTCAATTGTCAGTGCCCTAAGGAAAACAACTCCAAACTTCTAGATTCTCTTCATTGTTGAATTGTTTCAGTCCAGAAAGCATTCTGATGAATTTCTTCTGCACCCTCTTTAGTGCAATCACATTGACCTTGTGGTATAGTGACCAAAAATGTACACAGTACTCCAGCAGTGGCCTAACAATTGTTATATACTGTTCCATAATAACTTCTTTGCTGTTGTGTACAATGCCTTGACTAATAAAGGCAAGTATCCCAAAAGCCTTCTTAACCACCTTATCGACTTGCCCTGCTGCCTTCAAGGATGTGTGTACTTGATCACCAAGGTCCCTCTGATACTCTGTACGTCCTGGGGTCCTACCATTTATTGTGCACTCCCTTGCCTTGTTAATCTTCCCAAAATGTATCATCTCTCACTTTTCAGGATTAAATTCAATTTGCTATTTTCATCGCCTCTAACCAGCCCATCAATATCATCCAGTGGTCTAAGGCTTTCCTCCTTACTTTTTACCATGCCACCAATATTCATGTCATCTACAAACTCACTGATCATACTCCTAAATTCATAGAAACGTAGAAATTAGGAGCAGGAGTAGGCTATTTAGCACTTGGAGACTGTTCCTCCATTCAATATAACATGGCTGAACTCAGTATCCTGCTTTCTCCACATTTTCTACATTTTAGGGGAAGTGATGCCTAATAGTGTTATCACTAGACTGTTAATCTAGCAATACAGGTAATGTTCTAGGGATCCAGATTCAATTCCTGTCATGGCAAATGGTGGAATTTGAATTCAATAAAAAACAGTCTGGAATTAGGAGTGTAATGATGACCATAACTCCATTGCTGATTGTTGGGAGAAACCCATCTGGTTCACGAATGGCGTTTAGGGAAGGAAACTGCCCTCCTTACCTGGTTTGGCCTAAATCTGACTCCAGATCCCCAGGAATGTTAATTGACTCTTAACTGCCCTCCGGGCAATTAGCGATGGGCAATAAATGTTGATCTAACCAGCAAAACCCTCATCCCATGAATGAATTTTTAAAATTACCTTTTGTCCAGATCATTAATGAACACAGCTAATAGTAAGGGATCCAGTAGTGTTGAACACAGGCTTCCAGTCACAAATACACATGGCAGGGGTGTGATGGAATATTCCCCTTTTGCCTGAATTAGTGCAGTTCCAACAAAACTCAAGAATCTTGACCCCATTCAGGATAGAGCGGCAAGCTTGATCAGCAGAACTTGCACAAACTTTCACTCCCTCCAACATCTATGATTGGTAGCAGCAGTATGTACTATTGTCAAAATGCACTGCAAAAGTTCTTAGACAGCACTTTCTAAACATATGACCACTACTGTCTAGAAGGACATATACAGAAAATAGATGGGGTCATCACAACCAGCAAATTCCCCTCCAAGCCACTCACCATCCTGGTTGGCATAATTGCTGGGTCAAAATCCTGGAACTCACTCCCTTATGGCATTGTATATGTACCTAATAAGTGGATTATAGCAGTTCAAGAAGGAACTGCTAATTACCATCTTCTCAAGTGCAGCTAGGTGATGGGCAATAAATGTTGGTCCAGCCAGCGATGCCCCATTCCACTAGTGAATTAAATATATCCCTTAAGGTTGTTGTTGCTACTTGTTTATACCAACATTCTTCCATTGCCTGTTTCACTCTTTCTGTCACTTCGGCTCTTGTCTGTCATTCTGTATTTTCTCGTGCCTCAGTGTTTCCAGTGATACTACTCATTTTAAATAAAGAGCAGCACCTAATTTTTCCCCCCTATTTTGTCCTGTTTGCACCTGTCCTCCAGCAATAGTGATTCATGCTGGAGTGTAATTTTACACCTATTGACAGCTGTCCTGTACCTTGTCAGTTGGTGTTTTTCATCTGTGAGGTTGGGTAGTGGACATCAAGCTGTTTTGGACGCATGACATGTTGCAACCAGGCCTGATTCTAAATACTCTGTTCATTTCTTGCAGAAGGTGTACTGATTAACAATGTGACTAAAGTCTTCTATTGACCTTCCTCACTTTTACAACTTGATCACACACTAATTATTGCCTGTTCACAAACCAGGGATGGAAAAGTGAAACCTTTCCCTTCTGTAGAGCTCAATACACCAGAGAAGCCTCTGATCTCTTAGGGCAGCAAGAATAGGCTCTGTCAAGGAAAACTTTTGTCACTAGTTAAATATTGATTATTGACTTTATTTTATTCCACCAGCCCCTCATTTCTTACAAACATATGAAAGATAGGCAGTAAAAGACTAATCAAATTCACCTAGGAATCTTGCTGAACAGTGTCCCAACTGCAGGTAACGCTAGCTGTGCAGTTGTCTCCTTTTCCTTCCCATTCTTATTAAAACTATTCAAAATGACGCTGGATCGTGGTGACAGTGGAAAAGCTTTTCACTGTATTTTACTGTTTTTCTCACTGTAAAATACATGTGACAATAAAAATCATTCATCATTCATTCCTTTCCCCAATCTTATATCCATGCTAGTAGCTTCTGTATCTTTTTCATTTCTTTCTTGATCGCCAGTTTCATCATGTTTGACACCCACCTTTTGTTTCTTTGATCCTCCTTACACTCAATCACACAACTCACTGCTGCATTCATAACCCCACATGCATTAATACTGTCAGTGGTTTCTTATCCTTAAGCAACTGTTTTGGCTTTGTTCAAAATTACTGTTATTATCCCAACCTCATCGATCATTGGCTCTTGTCCAACGCCCGCCCCCATTCATTTTAATAGTTGCTACACTTTCAGCAGCTTTTACTGAAACCTTCAAAATTGTTTTTGTTGTTTCTAGATTTGACAACTTCAAAACTATCTTTGTTAACTTCCCACTGTCTTCAACGCTATAAACTACAACTTGTCTGTGTCTTTACATCTGTTGTGACTCGTATAAAGCCTTTCTTATTCATTATCCTAGTCCTTGCAGATTTATCTTTATTCCTCAACTTCAAAGCCTAAAGTAAAAATCCTTCTGATTTTCTTTAAAATCTTCTATGACCTCATCATGTTTTCCCAATACTTTCCTTTAGTGTTATATTCCTTTGAACTGTTTGATCCTCAGTTTTTAGACTCTTGAGTATCTTCTTTTCCTATTGATTTATTCTAGAAAACACAGATTTTGACAGCATGATTTTTCCCTCCTAAATTCCTCCAATTCTCAATTTTATTTCTCCTTTAAAATCTGCTTAACAACCAGCTCATAGACCAAATGCTTGATGATACCTCCTGATTTCTTCATTTCAAGCTAAGCATCTGCTTTCTGTGTATGCCTTTGTGAAGTGCATTGGTACTTTTTTATTTTAAAAATGTA